GTGAAAAGAAGGTGGGGTGTTAGTGAAATCCCCCCCACTTATCACCCGGGTGATAAGGGGGGTATTAGTGAAATCCCAGGTTGACCCGGGTGTGATACAGGGCCGTTGACCAAGACTCAGAAGAAGGATGGCAAGAAGTGGAGGAAGACCAGGAAGGAGAGTTATACCATCTATGTGTACAAGGTGCTCAAGCAGGTCCACCCCGACACCGGCATCTCATCCAAGGCCATGGGCATCATGAACTCCTTCGTCAATGACATTTCCGAGTGCTTTGCCGGTGAGTCTACCCGCCTTGCTCATTACAACAAGCGCTCCACCATCACCTCCCGGGAGATCCAGACCGCCATCCGACTCCTCCTGCCCGGAGAGCTGGCCAAGCACGCCGTCTCCGAGGGCACCAAGGCCGTCACCAAGTACACCAGCGCCAAGTAAAGCGGACTAAGGATATACCCTTAAAGACTCAAATGCTGTTTTAAGAGCCACCAACTAATTCACAAATCTGAGCTGTGATCTAATCGGAACGCTGTCAAACGTTGTTAACCCCTTCGTGACTGACGACGTACAGTGTACGTCGCCAGCATCGGGGCTGTTTAAACAGACTCCCGGTGACCTTTGCCGCCAGGACTCTGTTTAAACTTGTAGAGCCGACTGTCGGCTATACAACAGAAGTGATCCTGGTGACTTACCTGTCGCCAGATCGCTTCTGCGTCCCGAAGAAGGGGCCGCCCCCCCCCGCCGTGCTTCACGGTCTCCGTTGCCCCTCCTACGGGCCGGGACCGGCGATCTTGGTGTCCGCGGGGAGCTGGGGAGGAGGTCGACGAACTTCCGTTCATCGATCCCCTCACCGTTCTATGGGACCGGGAGCGATGCAGATTGCATCACTTCCGGTCCCTGGGCTGTCAGTTCTGGGCTCCTGGAGCCCAGCTATAAGCTATTGAAGTGCGATCTGCACTTCAATAGCTTATTTCCAGTGTAAAGGTGACACTGGGGGTCTTTTGGACCCCCAGCATCACCTTAAAGAGTACCTGTCACCACCATCTGCTATCACATGGGGGGGCTTGTAAGCCCCCCCATGTGATAGCAGTCAAAGTATTTTGGGGTATCTCTAAATTGATGACCTGTGGAGGCTTAAACATGGGTACAAACGATTAAAAAAAAGGCCTCAGTCATGAAGGGGTTAAAATACCTCGGCTGTACTAACTCTAGTCTGTTAAAAAAAATCTGATGACCCTGACGTGTAGGATATAGTGCAGTCTGATACGTCTAGATTCCCCATGTCTCGGCCATGACTGAATTTATTACACTTTAACACAATCTTCACTGTGCACTATTAAACAGTACACAATCAATGCCTATGGCCAATTTTGGCTAGGATAGTTTTTTTTGCGATTTCGTGGGTGTGCGCAATTTTAAGGCTTGACATGTTTGGTGTCTATTTACCCGATGTGACCCCGTCTTTTATATTTTACCAAAAAAATTGGGTAAAAATAAATGTTTCCTAAAATAATAAAGGGAAAACCGTTTTTCTTTTTAAATATTCGGTACTTTTTTGTTATATACTAAAAAATAAAACCCCCCAGTGGTGATTAAATACCACCAAAAAAAAGCTCTATGTGTCCCCCAAAAAATGGTATAACATAAACGTCAGTTGAAGTACCGCAGCGCTGAATACTTAAAACCTTCCACCAAGGACGACTTTCCCAACAATGCACCGTTTCTAGTTCAGAAGGATTGTAGCAAACATGCAATCAGCACCGTTCACAACAAAGTCCATCCCATTGCTGACCTGCCCAGGAAGCAGCCCGGACCTGAGCCCGATAGAGAATGTGTGGCACCGTTTGGAAAGGCTTGAGGCTAAAATTGCTCCCTGTACACTATATTCACCACGATTGCAGTATGCCCTGCGTAACCTTTTTTGTACTGCATTTATTATTATTTTTAGGGTTCAATAGATTTTTATTAAAGGATTACAGTATCTGCAACACATCCATTGTTGATTACATTCTATAATGGATACTCAATTGTAATGATAGCAACAGTGAGACATATACAGCATTGTCTAAGAAAACAGAAAATTAAGCGAACAAGCCTTATGATTTTGGCATGTGGCAGCAAATGGTCTTGGCCGCTTTCATGTACTGGAGGGTACATCTGAACGCAAGAAAACACACCATGCTGGGACCAAAACCTTCCATCGGTGATCCTCACGAGAATTCAGCCCCCTGCCACACAGCAACAATATGAAATCAGCACCGTTCACAACAAAGTCCATCGCATTGTTGACCTGACCTGAGCCCGATAGAGAATGTGTGGCACCGTTTGAAAAGCCTTGTACGAGTGAGGCGTCCATCAAATAACAGGCAATTCATTGAGGCTAGAATTACCTTCTGTACAGTATATTCATCACGATTGCAGTATTCCCTGCAAAACGTTTTCTCTACTGCATATATCTGCATTTTGTTTTAAATTCAGCATGACATTTTCATTATATTGACAAACATTTGCATTTGATGCGAAATACCATTTCCGAGAATCCTGCAAAGTTGCAAAACATTCACATTTTAAAAAGTGTTCACAATTTTTGTCACCGCTGTAGATGTTATTTTCATACCAGCCTAGTCTTCATGATTGCAGCGTTGCTGTTGTGTCCATAAGAAAATGAAAACCAAGTTAGCGGCATCTTTAGAAATCCTACTGGTTTCTAATGAGACTTGTGATATTCTGCATCAGGGATATGGAGAGCGAATCCTAGATAATACACCGATAGTTTACTCTGCACATATTCCGCAGACCTGACTGCACCGGCAGTTTGTAATATGACAAGCCATCATTTAAAGCCAGCACATTGTAAAATTATTTCTTCCACCTGCAGATTATAGGAGTTGTAAGGTTACTTCCTTGCACTTATTCACAGATAATAAAACAGTCATCAGAAAGATAATACAATTTAAATATTTAATCATGCCTTGAAAATATTTATCCTTGCACCAGTTTGTCGGGCTTGAAACTGAACATAAACCTTTGATCCTAAAATCGTGGTTACAGCCGCTTTTTATGGAAAGGTGGGTGGCCCTGAAAAGGGCCTTTGAGTGTATGAAACGGGCAGAATTACTGTTTAACCTCCGAAACCGTAGAGAGTGCGTCCCTGGCGTTTGAGAGCATAGACGACATCCATGGCGGTGACGGTCTTCCTCTTGGCGTGCTCGGTGTAGGTGACGGCATCGCGGATGACATTCTCCAGGAAAACCTTGAGCACTCCGCGGGTCTCCTCATAGATGAGTCCGGAGATGCGCTTGACACCCCCTCTGCGGGCTAAACGTCGGATGGCGGGTTTCGTGATGCCCTGGATGTTGTCCCGGAGCACCTTCCTGTGGCGCTTAGCGCCTCCTTTGCCCAGACCCTTCCCGCCTTTACCGCGACCAGACATCTCTAAACCTTCGTTAGTCAGACAAACGATGAAGAAATGCTGCGCGGTCACTCTCTTTTATACAGAAGGAGTGGACCTGATGGGAAACTGAGTGGGCAGGGGTAAGGAGGCGTATCCGTGATGCTCTAAAAGCCACGCCTCTCTGGGCAGGAATCGTCCCAACACTCAGCCGTTACTCAGTTTGAAGCTCCCGCTCATTATATTCTTTGTCCTTATCTACAGAAAGATTTTGTTCGAGTGAATAAAGCAATTTACTTTAACCGGCAAATTGTAATCCATTAGAGATCATAATAGAATCCCAAATCGGTATTGTATTAGTAGGACTTCCGCTGTTATCTGTGACATGGATGTCTGCAATCCCCTCCCCCACAGGACAATCCTGCCCTGACATTTATCCTAAATGCTACATTCTAGACTTCTCCATTACAAAAACTGACATATATTTTTGGATTTCATAATATAAATGGGATTTGTCCTTTCCAGATAGAATCGGCAGTTTAATTGTCTGTCTTCTTACTCTCACAATTGGCGCTATTGCCGGGCTAATTCTATAGCGGTCACGTCTGTAGAGCTCAGGTTGATTTGAAACCAGCAACAACTGAATCTCAAACAATCCCAGCGAGAAGCGTCCCCTCCATCAGCCAACATGTATTTTAATAAAAGTATTCACAAAAAAAGTAGTCACAGTATTCAATACAATTCAGCAAGAAAGGGTTGGAGATCTATTTGGTGAGAACACGTGACATGATCAGATCTATAGGAAACGATAAATGTATCAGCGAGCTAATCTCTTCTGTTCCTCTTATTTTACATTAGAAATATGAAAACCAATTTCTACCCATTCACGTCTTGTATTAGCTCTCTGTATGGAGATGTGGGTGGCTCTGAAAAGAGCCTTTGGGTTCTGTGGTATTAAAAACTGCCAAGGTTTTACTTGGCCTTGGAAGCTTTATGACTTTCGGTTTTCTTAGGCAGCAGCACGGCCTGGATGTTGGGCAGGACTCCTCCCTGGGCGATGGTGACCCCACCGAGCAGCTTGTTGAGCTCCTCGTCGTTGCGGACAGCCAGCTGGAGGTGTCGGGGGATGATGCGGGTCTTCTTGTTGTCCCGGGCAGCGTTGCCGGCCAGCTCGAGGATCTCAGCGGTCAGATACTCCAGAACGGCGGCCAGGTAGACGGGAGCTCCGGCCCCGACCCGCTGGGCGTAGTTGCCCTTCCTGAGCAGACGGTGAACACGACCGACTGGGAACTGCAGACCGGCTCGGGATGATCGGGTCTTGGCCTTAGCACGGGTCTTGCCGCCTTGTTTGCCGCGTCCAGACATTATAAAACAGCACTAAAGTCTCCCTAAGAAGTATTTTACTAACCCGCTCCCTTACTCTTATATAGACCTTGGATGCTCTGATGTCACACCCTTTGATTGGTCACATTTGAAGCCAACCAATAGAGTTCTGACCTGTTTTTAAGCCAATCAACAACAAGGAAATACGGATTACATCATTATCACTGAGTTCTCCGCTTGAATTGCATTCAATTAAATCTTTCTGAATCCAATTCCTCATCTTTGACACAAAGACACTTCTAGACGTCCCTCACCACTTCCTGAGCTGAGATCAGATTTTAGCTCTGTTCATTTGTACAGAAAATCTATTATAACTTTTGTTAGTGAGGTGAAACTTCTTAGTAAGAAACTCATTCCAACAACTGTCATTTGTGTAAAGTATTCTGGAGAAAATGTAATAATTAACAATATTTGGAGGTGGAGTTGTGAAAGGAAACAAGCCGATGACATTGTAGATCTTCCCGGATCCCCGTTCAGAGCCGATGTATCATGTGACCACCAGGTGGCAGTGTTGTCCCTCCATAGAGTAGACATTGGAGTTATGTATCTGTAATGTATCCATAAGAACTTGCTGAGTGCTGATACAAATGTCCCAGATATAAACAATTGTAACCATGTCTGCAAAGAGGGGAAACAAATGTAAATCGGCCTGGCGCAGGCAGTGGAATGCTTTGGTCCCCTCTTCTTCTCTCTATGTCTGGAGACTAAGGAGATCAGTTGCCTGCACTTTGGGAGAGGAATGTTGTTCTATTCTTGCCTGAAATAGGATTTGTTGTATTATTTGTTTCAAGATGTGCCAAATATTTTCAATTGGGGAATGGTCTGGACTGCAGGCAGGCAGGTCAGTTAAGCACCCAGACTCTTCTAATATGAAATAATGCAGTCTGTGGTTTAGCATTGTCCTGAACTATACAAGGCCTTCACTGAAAAATACTTTGTCTGGATGGGAGTATATGCTGCTATAAAACTTTGATATATCTTTCAGCATTAATGGTGCCTTTCCAGATGTGCAAGCTGCCCATTTCTTACACACAAATGCACCCCATACCATCTGAGATGCAGGCATTTGAAGTGAGCGCTGATAACAAGCCAGAAGGTCCCTCTACTCTTTAGTCCAGAAGATGCAGCCCCATGGTTGCCAAAAAGTATGTCAAATTTTTATTTGCCTGACCACAGAACAGTTTTCCAATTTGCAACAGACCATCTTAAATGAGCTTTGGCCCAGAGTAGCATTTCTGGATTATGTTCAGATATAGCTTCTACTTTGGATGATAGAGCTTTAACTTGCAGTTTTGGAATGCACAGCGAACTGTGTTCACAGACAGTTATCTTATGAAGATTCCTTAGCCCATGCAGTGATGTCCATCACAGCATCATGCCTGTTTTTAATGCAGTGCTGTCTGAGGGCCCGAAGATCACAGGCATCCAATATTGTGTTTCGGCCTTGTTCTTATGATCACAGATTTCTCCAGATTCCCTGAATCTTTTGATGATATTATGTACTGTAGATGAGGATATATTTAAAGTCTTTGCAATTTTATGTTGAGGTCTATCATTCTGAAAAAGCCGGCAGGTTGGGGAGAGCCCTCGGCTTCGGTCCCGTGGGCGCCATCTTCCTAGGCTGTACGCCAGTGGAGTTGAGTCAGCTCAGCCCCAGGGAAGGACAGGAGCTGTGTGCGGGGGTTGACAGGATGGGTGTCCGTGGGTTTCCCAAGTCTCTTCCCTGGTAATGCCTCTGAGTGAGTCGTCAGGGCACTCCTCGGCTACCCTCTCTCCAGCCCCAATGACATGGGAGGACTTTCATGAGCTCCGGGAGGTCCTGCAGGCAAAGGGTGTATCTAGCACGAGGCAAACTAGGCGTTTGCCTTGGGCAGCATTTTTCAGGAGGGCGCCCCCCCCAGGCAGAAGGTGAGGCGGCCAGTGAGCAGAGGGGACAGTGAGCGGGACAGCTTCGCCTTCGGACATGAGGTAAATGCTCGGACCGTTCATATCTCAGGGTCTGATGAGGAAGCCGCAGACGTTCTCAGTGAACAGCTGTCATGAGACCCTGAGATACTGTGTATGTGCAGTTTACTGTCAGTGTGTGTCAGCACGGGACATTACCTTCTCGTCCCGATTGTTCTCTCTTTCCTCCCCTGTACGCTGCACAAGTACACAGTCTCCCCCTTCCTCCACCCCCCCTCGTGCCTCAGCCCAGTCAAAAAAGAATGATTAAGTTCCTCCATCTCACCAGGGGACCGTCGGGGGGGGCTCAAGATCGCCCTCAAGGCTTTGGTCACTTAGAGCAGTCTACAGCAAGTCAAAGGCACCGGAGCTTCCGGATCCTTCAAGATCAACAAGGAGCAGAAGAGCAAAGGCAAGGCGGTGGGTAGCCAAGAGGAAGACGTTGGCTGCTGCCAAGCACAAGAAACCAGCCACCAAATAGAAGCCAGCGTCCAAGAAAGCCCCAAGAAGCCGGCCAACACCGCTTCTAAGAAGAGCACAATGAGCCCCAAGAAGCCCAAAGCTGCAACCAAGGCCCAAAAAGTAGCCAAGAAGACCGCCAAGCACAAGAAGAAATAAGACAGAGCTTCTCCTTTCATCAACATAACACAAAGGCTCTTCTCAGAGCCACCCAGCTTCTCCCAAAAGAGCTCCACATACAGTGAGCCTACATAAGGTCATAATATAGCATTCCAAACTAGTAGTTATATGGAATAATGCAGTAAAATTCATACTGTGAGCCATCTTTAAAAAAAAAAATCGAAAATTCACCAAGTCTCAGTATAGAGTTACATTATATAACTTGACCCTCCTAAGGGGGAAGATAGTTTATCATCCTCCCCATGTCACATTAAGCAAAAGGAGTTACTCACTGTTAATTTCATTGCATAATAGTATGGAAATGAACCACTCCTATTAGTTGACAGAAGATCTTACACCCATTTGTGATTGGTTGAGTGGGACATTTTAAATAACCCGCCAAAACTCCACCCATTTTCCTAGTTAATCTCCCCTTATAAACCTCCAAATCATTGACAGTAATGGGAGTACAGGGACATCATATAACACAAGGAGGAGAATTTATCAACACTAGAACAAATAGAACCTGGACCAGTTGACCATGACAACCAATCAACTTCTCTGTTCCATTTCAAAGCCTAACTGAGGAAACTAAAGAGAGAATCTGACTGGTTGTCATGAGCAACTGCTCCAGATTCTGCCCCCCCCCATATAACACAAGGAGGAGAATTTATCAACACTAGAACAAATAGAACCTGGACCAGTTGACCATGACAACCAATCAACTTCTCTGTTCCATTTCAAAGCCTAACTGAGGAAACTAAAGAGAGAATCTGACTGGTTGTCATGAGCAACTGCTCCAGATTCTGCCCCCCCCCCCCCCCCCCAACAAAAAAAAAAAAACACGGGCCAACTTCTTGCTGAAGAGGTGCAGTGGACAGGACAAGAAAAATAGCAACAAACTGGTAGTGTTGCATGTCCACAGCAAAATGCAGGTGGAGTTGGTGGGGGGGGGATGTGCAAATAAGCATCCTTAATATCCACAGAGGCCTGAAAAATGCTACGGTGAAAGGAGATGACAGGACAGGACTTTTGGCATATCGCACTGGATCAGAACGCAGGCACTAATGTGCCATGCATTCGGGTGTCAACGATCG